AACAACACGAACATGCACGGCCGACGCAAAACTGCTGCGCGTGTGGAAGCGCACATAAAACCAGTAAAGATCTGGAGAATCTGGAGACCTAGGAACAATTGTGAATGTCCTCTACCATGTTATTATAGGGTACTACTGTACCAGGTCCGAAGACGTTTGCCAAGAAAATAAATATTCACCGCATGTTAGTTGTGACCTTCCACATCATCGATCTCGGCAACAAAAAGATGCACCGGATGCTAGTTGTGACCATCGGTATGAATCTCGAATATAGGAACGACACGATGGTGTCCACGAAGGCACACTCTAACCTTCACCCCTCCCTTGAACTATTGTAGCACGTCCGTGTACCTCGGCCACGCTTGGCTATCTACCGTGTTTCTCGCCACCTACCAAGAAAAGTAGCTCCGCTGGTGAACGGTTCAAGCACCACCGCTTCAGAGGCTCTGTAGAGAGAAAGCCGACTCCCAACACTGTCGTACATTGTGCAGCACTAGTGGGTAGTGGGCCCTCAACAACGCCGGTGTGTGCCCGGCAAATCAACCGGCGTTTTTCAGGGGGAGCGGCGCTATTCAAACTACATAATGCCTAGGCGATTCAAGCTGTGCCCAGCAATTTCAACGGCGCCATACAGGGCCACCGGCGGTATAAAACCGGCGTTGTTGAGGATCCGTTACTGCTGTCGTCAAATAAGTTCACCCATGAACGTACGTCCGAACTATGTAACCAATGCGTCCAGCCAACAACATCATCGCGCACAGTGCTGTCATGCATGCCCCCCTTTCCCCCGTCAGCCCCCGACCTGCATCATCTGGCCGTCGCCGAATTCCCCGAGGTCGCCTCCGGCTCGGGCGCTGCCACAGTCGGAGTGCTCCTGCGCTATCTCAGCGAAGTCTTCCTGGGTCGAGATCTTGGCCCTAAGGTCCATGAGCATGTTGATCGCCTCGGCCTGCAACGAGAAGTCGTATGTTGTATGGATTCCGGGAAAGGGAAAGGGGGATCAATCCCACATCCAAGCATGGTTGACCGCTGCTCTCTGTTGCTGTGCGGCAACAAGTCTGCAAAACATCTCGTCGTTTGGATACATGTGTTCAACATTGTTGTGCGGCAACAAGTCCGGAAAACAGCTCGTAATTTGCATACACACCTGTCACGGGGTGCATATGTAACATTTCGATGTACATTTCGATGTTTTGTCCGCGCTTCGGCACATTTCTCTCCCTAAGCTGCGCATCTTTTCTACCGCTCCCTTCTCAGGGACAGGCAGGGTGATCGTCGGTACATCACGGCGCATGCCCGAGGACTGCCAGGTATCCGTGGCACGTGTAATCGACGCCTAATGCCTATGAAGTCGCCGCGAGTGGCTCTCTTTCGGAGGAAGGCTAGGCTTTTCCCCCGTAGGCGATGTTTTTTTTTTTTTTGCGGCGTTTCACGGAATTTTTCGGCTATTTTTTTTTAGTGCAAAAAACGCCTTTTTCGGCGACTTTCGGCGCCTTCCACATGTTGTTCGGCGAGTCATAGTTCAGTTTCGGTGATTGTTGGCGATTTTCGGCGACGTACATAGCATGTACTTCCAGTA